CCCCAAAACCCCAAAACCCCAAAACCCCAAAACCCCGTTGGGCAAAATTTTATTGGAAATTTGTATTTAACAAAAATGAGGTCATTAAGTCCCGAAGAAATTGAAGAAGTTGATGAAATTATGAGGGAAAGGCACCCTCTGTATTATACGAAAGGTATGTCATGACTCCTAACTTATAGAAGGGATCTTAAGTATATTTCCTGGTCTAAAGTGGATCCTCTGATGCCTTAAGAATAAGCATGAACAAGTAAGCTTTGGTTTTATGTGTAGATATTGCACAGAGATATTGAAAGAAGTGACAACCAGTCTGATATCAACTCCGATAAAGCATCTGGTAGGTGCTCAAGTGTGACACATAGTGGAAGATAAGCTCGGGTTTGGAATAGTAGCGTATTTCGATTTGCAGAAATATCTTTTGGTTTTATTCCTGATCATATTTATACTATTGCTCCCATCTATATACCTTTATGTGAACTACCCATATGGAAGAAGAGATGGTTCAATATTTCTTAACAAATACTCTATTGGAAATCTTGGATTTTCCAGCGTACTTTGTAAAGACACTTCTCTCAAAGTTGGAAACCTTACAATGAGTTGTCCCACAGGAGAAATAAGACAGATCGTTTCGTTCGGATTGACTCCAAGTGATGCAGTTCAAAATGATGCATGCATGCCTAACCAAGAAAACCTTCAGTGAGAGGATTCTCTTGATAAAGAACTTCTTGCTGAGGAAATCAATCTCAAATGTTTGAATAAAACCACATGCACAGTAGATGGTTCGAAATATCTAAGATTAAGCATGAATAAGAAATGAACTTCACCTTATGCCCAGTTCTACATGCAAGTCTTCTGTATGCACAGTGAGGAAGAACTTGAGCGACGAAGTTGGCTATCACTCTACTTCACAATCCAAGTAGTAGTAGTCTCAATCTTCCTATTGAGCTTTCTTTACTTTCTCAATCGTAAGAATGCTAACGACTTCAAGGAATGGGATATGAAAACAGTGACTATTTCAAACTACACAGTTGTGTATGAAATCCCAGATATTATCTACAAAGACTTTATCTTTAAGTACAATTCAGACAATAAAGGAATGAAGTCATCATTCTCTAATAATCAGATAATAGAGGAAGAGAAGTCTAGCAAGTCATTTGACAACCTAAACATCTCTGAGGATTCCAAAACAGTTAGTAAAATGCACAAGAGGGCTGCAGAAAATTTGAACTTTATTGACACCCAGATGGACCCTCTAGCTTCAGGTGACAAAGGAGCCGGAGATAAGAAGTCAAAGCGAGTAGCTCCACTTTATTCTTTCAAACAGTACCTTCTGAGGTACTTTGAGAAGACCTTGTCAGATAGTTCTGACGAGGCTAAAATAGCCCACATTCATTTTGCATTTAAGAATTCTGGATTTTTCAAATTGATGAAGAATCGAGGCAATAGGATCAAAAAGGTAGAAGATGAGACTATCCTTACACTTGAAGAAGAGATAATTGAGTATTTGAAAAAGAACCCAACTAGTTCTCTGACTCCAATAGAGGCCTATATTACGTTTGAACAAGAAACAGGTGTCTTAAAGGCTCTGAGATATTCTAGAAAATCTCCTGCACCAAAATGGAGAGGCACTCAGGTAGTTTTTAAACCTGCAGAAGAGCCCTCAAACATAGAATTTGGGTATAAATTCCAGGATGGCCCATTATTGTTCCTTAAAAAGTTACTAGTTCTTGTAGGATGAGTGTTTTTCTGAATTTTTACTTGCTACATAGTCTTCCTATTTCTGGACAAGATCAACAAAGTAAGTGAGATTTACCCTCCAGTTGATTGTACAAATGTCCTAAAGGACTCTTCCCAAGAGATGATGGAGAACTATGCTGTGATAGAATACCTGCACATTGAGAACTCAGATTGGTCTGAAGAAGCTCTCCTCAAAATCAACACTGATAATCTCCAGTGATACTGCGACAGCCCTGACTTCAAAGGTAAGCTCTAAGAGTTGTTCCTAGTCTAACCTTTTTAGTCTTGAACCTGACCCAAATCCCAGCAGAATTGACCAATGGAACAGTGATTCAAGAGGATATCTGAATGCATTACACTGAAGCTACTATTTTTGTCGAGGCTTCGTATTTGTTAATTCCTCTAATGATCTTCCTGACAGCAAAATGCTTGAGGTTCTTCTCAAGTTACTGAATCACTTGGATTTGTTATGATGACAAGACACAAGAAAGTGCTAGGATTCAGCTAGCGGTGTTTATAATGACCTTTTTCAACAATGCTTTAATCATTCTGCTGATAAACGCAAGATTTACAACAGAGGTCAAAGGAAACTTCTTGTTTGATGGATTGTACACAGACTTCAGTGATGACTGGTATGACCACTGCTCTTATTATTTCATCCTTCCAATGTTCTTGGAGCTATTGACACCATTCCTAGAGTTCTTCAGGCCTTATATCATGAACAAATTCCATGCACTTCGAGATAGAAGTTGGGGCAAATTCTCTCAGTACAGGACTAAATGCAAAATTTCAACGGATTATGCTGAGCTAAACTCAGGGATGAACAACGAACTGAGTTACAAGTACTCTGAAATTATGTCAATCACTATGATTTCATGCTTCTATGGTTTTGGGCTTCCGATCATTCCGATCCTAGGCTTTGGTATCCTTATCGTGAACTATATTTTCCAGAAAATAGTGGTGTTCCTTCACTATAGAAAGCCACCCCTTTATGATGAGACATTGAGCAAGACTGCAATTTTTGTCCTGAAATGGGGCGCCTTCTTGTACGTAGCTATTGCATATTGGATTTTGACTAATAAACAAATGTTTGGAAATTGCCTCGAGCCGATTGCTTACCAAGACGAAATCGAGAATTACTCCTGAAAGAGAAGTTTGTAACACACTGTATAACCACCTATATTCGAGCTACCATCCCAAGATACATTTAATATTCCTGTTGTTCTATGCAATCGCCTTGTTCTTAACCTTAGTTACGGTTGATATACTTAATAGCCCATTGTGACAGTTTAGCAAAAATCTGTGAGATATATGGAGAACAGAGAGAGAACCAAAGCAAAGCTCTGAAGGTTTGCCTTCGTACATCCAATCTCTTCACCCCAAAGACAGAGTGCAGTTGTTTTATGAAGAAAAGACTAGAAGAGAAAAGCATGGTTACAAAGTTCTCCAGGACGATTTTTACAAATCTCTTCAAAACAGCTCATCTAGAGGGTCCTCATTTGATATACTCCAAAGGGTGAGATCCAAGCCCTCCTCAACTCCTAGACAGACTGATACCATCGATATAATCTCCTATGACCCACTAGACTCTCTTGAAGACGAAATAACCTACAGTTATGTCCCTGTGGCTAAAAGGAAGAAAGGTCAGGAAAGTATTAACCTATGCTCAGAGTTCGCAAGGCTTGCTTTTGAATACCCCTTCCACAGAGATTTGGATTTGCTAAAGAAAGTGTCTGAAAAGAAGCACAAGTTTTAAAGCCTAAAATCTTGTTTCAATATCTTTCACTAACTTTGGGCTATAACCTCTTTGCATGGCTTCAGAGATTAAGGCAGACCTGTTGGCTTAGAAAGCTCATAACCAGCAATGCTTGATTAGTCTCGATTTTATAGCCCCAACAATAACCAACAAGATTGATAAACGCTGGGGTTTTGGGGTTTTGGGGTTTTGGGGTTTTGGGG